CTTTTTGGTCCCAGGTTCCTTTGCTAGAAGAGAGTAGATTTCGTCTGGTGAATTATAAGTTTCAAAGTTTAAAATGTTTGCTCTAGTGTAATTCCTGATCTGCAGGTACCTGAAAAAGTGAGATGGTTGTAAATCAAATTTGCCTTTAAGTTGGTCAAATGAGGCAAAAACATTGTCAATATACAAGTCTCCCACAGTAGCCAGGCCTTTCCCTTTCCAAATAGAGAAAACAGGATCTGCCTGAGAAGGATGAAAGGCATGATTGTGACAAATGGGGGCAAAAACAGAAGTGTTTGTTAAATTGAATGTTTTTTTAATTTGGTACCACACCTTTAATGAGTGTTCTACTATCAGACCAATCCCCTTAAATGGTCCAGGACTTCTCTTTGTTGTATTAAGTAGTGCTGGGAGGGAGGTACCAGTGATGTCCTGTTCTATGGCCAGCCATGGTGGGGTAGTGTCATTAGGTTCTACAGGATAAGCTTGTTGCCAATATACAAGCGCTCGTGCATTAGCTGCCCAATAATAATGTTGGAATAGAGGGAGCGCTAGTCCACCCAGTTCTTTTGACTTGCAAAGGTGCTTCTTACTTATGCGATGTGATTTATATCCCCAAACGAAAGGCATAATGATTGAGTCCAATGTTTTAAAAAACTTTTTTTAGACAGAAAAAATGGGTATGTTCTGAAACATGTACAAAAATCTGGGTAAGGTCACCATTTTTATAGCATTAATTCTGCCAATCATTGACATGGGGAGTGTTCGCCAGAGTTCAATATCACTTTTAAGTTTATCAATCAGAGCTTTGTAGTTCAGTGTATAAAGCTGATCAGATTGTTTGGGAATTGTAGTTCCAAGATATTTAACATGGGTGGTCACTTTTACTGGTAGATTCCTGAGAAAGCTGGGGTCCAAGTCCTCGCTCAGAGGCATACATTCACATTTTTGGTAGTTTATAGTATATCCTGATAGCTTTCCAAAATTCTTAATTTGGTCCAATAACGGTGGAATGGAGTTTTCAGGCTGCGACAGAAACAGGATTACGTCATCAGCATATATAATGATCCATTTTGCCCAGACTTATAGGGATAATTTTTGGATTACCTCTAATATTTAATGCAAGGGGTTCAATACACAAAGCAAACAACAGAGGGCTCAAGGGGCAGCCCTGTCTTACACCACGGTACAGATTAAAAGGGTGAGATCTATCTGAGTTGGTGAGGACTGATGCAGTTGGGTGTGCATAAAGCATTTCTACCCATGAGCTAAAACTTTCACCCAGGCCAAATTCTCTGATTGTTAACAGCATATATTTCCAATCAACCTGA